AGCAGTTGGGAGAGAGCTTTGTAAAGCAGCAACGACTTGAACAAGCTGCTCCAGCAGAGCAGCAGTGGTGTTCTCGGTCCTCGTCTCCCGAACAGCATACAAGGTCCTACTTCCTCTATAATGTGCTCCACGTCCAGCACCATTTGTAGGCGGCGGCCCAGCCCAACGCTCAACATTCACAACTCCATTTGCTAGCGGCTGTCCAGTCCAGCGCTCAGCGTTCCTTTCCCTAGTGCGACACTCCAAGACTGACCCATCTGTTTGCAGTAGACGCAAAAGTTTTTTCGACGACAATGCTTCACCAAGTGCCCTTTCTCATGGCAGTGGTGGCACAGTAGTTCAGCATTAGGAACTCTACTGGTGAACTGGGGTCGAGTGACAGCTAAAGCTTGCAAGACCAGGAGAAGGTGAGTTCTGAGGCGAGTTTCTTCTCGCACCATGCTACTAATCATGCCATAAAAATTCAGCTGCTCTCGGTTCAAAATAGTAGATCTGACAGGCTCAAATTCTGGTCTCAAACGCATAAGAAATTGCAATACCCGGGTTTGTTGGCGTTCAGCTATCATGTCGGCTGTCAATTCAGTTTGGGGGCGCAGCGCGGCGTGGAGCATATCTTGCTCTGTCCATAACTCCTGAGCTGCATTGAAATATTCCGTAACTGACCTGTCACCTTGCTCCAAACAAGCATAAGCTGTTTGTACTTCAAATTGACTAGCGGCATTGACAGTGGAGTAGAGACCAGCAAGGTGCCGCCACATCCGATTGGCGGTGGTGAACAAACGCAGACTAAGACATGTTGATGGATCAACCGACCCCAGCAACCACGACCAGATTCTTGCGTCACTCTGATTCCACGTCGCCTTTTCTTGAGCTGTTGCAGTCGCCGCTGGTTGGGGAACAGATCCATCCAAAATCCCTAGCAAGCCTCTTCCTTTCACAAAAACCGGAACTGAAATTTGCACAGCGCATAGTTCGTTGAAGTGAGATGTACAGTCGGCCTCTCTGATTCAGCTGCGGTCAGCTCGGATACCATGTTGATGAAGACAGAGACAAATAAGAGATAAACAGTAAATAAAATCGGACACAGACACCGGAGTTTACGTGGTATCCTTAGAGATCCAGGACTAATCCATGGAAGAGCTTTGAACGCTCTTCAGGCTACTGATTTACTGGAAAGTTACAAAGTGAATCAATGATGGCGGCAGAACAACACTCCCTCTTATACATCTAGTGTCCTTTTAGGTTAAACTCAACCCTCTCACGTCTAACCTAGTGCATAGGCCTACATGGACATGACGTATGGGCTTAACACTAATTAATGGGCCATACAATCATTAACTACATAATCTCCCACATAAACCCATATAAACTGTAGCCTAGCATGATCATCACTTAACAGGGAAAGAGTTTGTTAAGCCTTTTAATTTCTTACACGTCCCTCAAACGAAAGCCTATCTTTATCGGAGTTTTCTTATACGGTTTGTATAGGTCGAACGTATCATTCCTTGTGAAACCAAGCCATTAGGCTTTCAGTTTGTACAAGTATAAGTGTCAAAACATAACCCAACCCGATTAACCCGCCCGATCAACCCGACCCGCAACCCGAATTGACTAAAAGTCAACAACCCGTAACCCGCCCGACCCGCAACCCGATTGACCCGCAACCCGACTAACTCGCTACCCGACTGACCCGCAACCCGATTAACCCGAACCCGATTGACCCGCAACCCGACTGACCCACAACCCGATTAACCTGAACCCAATTGACCCGAACCCGACTAACCCGTAACCCGACCGACTCAACCCGAACTTCACCTAGTCCACTTGAATCATTATTATAATATACAATACATATTTTTTCAAAATAAAGTTTTTCATTCTAAACTTAGGTAAAATTATATTTTCATTTCGTATAGGGAATTTAAAAAATATGAAACTCATTTGATATTATGTATTTTAAGAAAATTACAAAAATTGAAACATGAAGGTCAATTGAACACTAAGTTCTTTAACAAAATAAAAAGGTAAATATAAAATATAATGTCAATATTAGTAATGAAGAATTAATAATTGAGATAATCGACAATATTAATATAATATATAAATTAAAATTTTGGTTAAATTAACTATTCAATAAAATTATCAATTAAATATAAATAAAGTAAAGTAAAGTAAAGTAATGTATTTGGTAATTTGATGTTTTTAATAGAAGAGGGAAATTTTAGTGTATTCAACTTTTCGGAAAGAGAAGAAGAGAGAAATTTGGTTCTTTGAATTTTTTTAGAAAAGAAACATGTGGAAATTTTGGTGGTTTTGATTTGTGGGAAGAGAAAGAAGTGGGAAAGTTTGGTTCTTTTGACTATGAAAGAGAAATAATGAGGTAAATTTTGAGTTTTCAACTTTTTGTGGAAGGAAGGAAGAGGGAAATTTGACGGTTCGTTGTTTAGGGTATAAAGTATATGGTTAGGGTATTGGGTATAAGGTACCAATGGTTTAGGGTGTATATGGTTAGGGTATAAGATATTGATGGTTTTGACGGTTCTAAGTTTTTTATTAACATATATTCACTTGAAGTCATTTGAAGTCTTTAACGGTAGGAGATCCCTTTTTAATTTTTGTTTGTCGTACGTGGTTAGGGTACAAGGTATATGGTGTAGAGTATAGAATATATGTTTAGGGTATAGCAATTAGCAAATATAACTTTTTATCTATGTTTTGAAAATCAAAGCATGAATTTTAGTTTTAAATTAACTATACTAGGTAAATCACAACTCGTAAGGACATATGGTTAGAGTATAGGGTATAGGGTATAGGGTATGTGGTTAGTGTATAATGTAGTGATGGTTTAGGGTATACAATCAACAACATATACTAACTTAATATTGTCGATTGAGGGTAAAGCCACTATAGGAAAACTGGTTTCTAGTCACGGTATCTTCTTCACGGTAATATTTCCCGTACTTAGAAAACATAAAAAATCACGGGAAGTATTCCTGTAATAAATTGAATACTCTAGTAATGGGAATTGATAAATTCTTTTTTGAGTTTTTATTTCCCGTGATTAATGGGTTGACACGATGAAATTCGTGTGAATAATGTGTTTAAAAAATTTCAAATATTTTTCTTAAGTAAGTTATCATTGCTATCCTACAATTATAAAAATGAATTCAAAATATTTACCATCAAAACCATCCAAAATTGCAAAAATTATATTCATAAACATAAAATATGGCTGAATTATTTCATTCACGAGGGAAACTTTCCCGCTTGCTTACAACTCATTGGTACTATCAAAAGAATTGAAAGAGAGCGGCTAAAATTTAGCGGGTTCTTTTTTCTTGAAATTGTATCGTCGAAAAAATTTAGAGAGAGCGCCTAAATTTCGCTACTCTTCCTTTCTCAAAAGTTTCCCAGTAAAATTTCTCTTTTTCTCACGTAACGTAAGTGTAGAGGAAATGCTCCGAAAGAGCGCTGGACTGCCCCTTTGCGTCCTTGTTCTCCTCTAGACCTCTACCGTCCCGCCGCTTCGGGTCTCTCTGCCTCCATCATCGTGCCCTCTTCCAAACCACTACGACCACTCCCTTTTTGTTCCGGACTCATCAATTACAGATTTGCAACAATGTGACCCAAGCCATCATCGACTCTCCTTTCGCCTCTCCGTTCCCTCTCAAGCGCCATACGCTACCTCCGGCGCCTCTGGAGGCCCTGCTCTCTCCGTCACCATCCTATGGGTCTCCACGATCTGAGGATGACCCATTAGTCGCCGCCTCTCGTCGACTCTATCTTTGATTGCAAAACTTGGAATCTCTGGGTTGATATGTGAGGGGTAATTCATGCTTCTTTCTTGTTAATCTTCGAAATTGAAATTAGGGTTCTTCATTTAAATTTGGGGATTTTGTGGAACTTGTTTGTTTTGTTAATTTTTTCCTTTAGTTTATTTATAGGTTTTATAAGAACGCTAAGTCTGGAATTTTAAGACATACAGTCTCGTTCTTCGCATTGATTGATTGGATGAAGAAATGTATGTCTCTTGATTCCTTTGATTTAGGGTTCTAGATTTTCTTTTATTCATGTCTCGTTCATATACTATTGTTGTTGATTGGAGAGGGAAAGAAGGGTCATTTCTTACTCATGCTCTGCCAGAGCTTTTACAGAGAATGAGAGGTAATGTTCTGCTTATGGAAGTTAGATTATGGTGATATGGCACTACTGTGGCTTATGTAAATACAAATTTCCACGGTCATATTGAACGATGTAACATGATATATATTGTTACTCTGCTCGTGCCTTCAAAGGGCCGATGGATTATGTGCTTGATCCGGTGACAGTGAGTTGTGAGACTCTTGTTTTTGGGTTCTCGTGATTTGTAGCAGCCCTGGATAATGCTCAAAACATTCATGCACTATAGATGTGTTTCTTCTTCTATCAAGCGGACTATATCTAAGCTATTCCAGGTATTAGAAGTTGGTTTTGCTTGATGAATTTTCCTGATAGCTTGCAGTTATAGAGTAATAAAATGTGTAAGTTGATAACGAGTAAGTAACTCGATGCGTTGACCCGAACAACCCGCAATCCAATCCGCTCGCAACCCGCCCGGCCCAAAATCTGATGAACCCGAACCCGAGTTTCCCGCAACCCGATTGAACCCGAATCCGATTGAACCCGACCCCACGAACCCGCAACCCGATGAACCCGCAACCCGACTAACCCGCAACCCGATTGAACACAGCCCGAACCCGCCCGATTGACACCTATATGTACAAGTTGGACACACCATTTCTCTTACTAAACCATTGTTTAAATTGGGGGTCGTCATAAGGATTCAAAACCATGACCTTTCGATTCTAGGCTCTAATACCATGTTATAAACCAATCAGTTTCAATAACTCGAATTGCTGGGGGGAAAAAATCGTTAACATCTCTTACAATCCATTATTACATTCATTAAAAAATAAAAAACCTAATTTTTTTTCTACACACCCCAATTCCCTACCTTACCCAACCTCACCACCACCAGAGCACAACCTCCTGCGGCGGCATTTCTTCTGTTCCCCCGAAGCTAGCGATCCTCCTCTCCGGCGTTCGGCTACCATTTCAACCTCCTGAATTTCTACCACCTGCAACCTCCTTTGCCATCGTTCCACGACTCCATCTTCCAGCCTCCTCTTACGAACTGGAGAAACAACAAAAAGCCACAGAAACCCGGGGCGGATCTGAAACGGGAACGTATTCAGAGAAGCCACAATGAATTACAGCCATATGAATTAGGAAGTAGCTAAATTGAGATTTCTGAGAACAAATTTAGGGGAAAGAAATTGAAAGATAATTTGAAATTCAAGTTACCTGCACAATTGCGAGTAATGAGCCTCCACCCTGTTTTGAGGAATACAATTCAGTCAACACCAATTTTCTTTTTTACCTTCTTCGTTCAAAAAGAGATATAGGCGAAGATTAAAAGAAGGGGATAGAGAAGCTTAGAAGGGGTTGAGATCGATGAACCGCAGGGATCTCCTCTTCTCCATTCCCCCAGCGAAGAATGCGCTCGCCGTAAAATCCTAAGAAAAAGAATCACCGTAAATTCTCCTCAAAACCATCCATCCTTCAATTCCGTTTTTATTCTGTGCGATTCTGAATTTTGGTTGTGTTTCTCTTTCCGCATATGAATTATGCGTTCTGTTTAGATTTGACGGATCTGTGAACCTTTCGTTTGTGTGTGTAATTCTGTTCAGGTCATCAACGATCGGGAGACGGGGGGTCCTGTGGATTCTGATTCGTGACCTTTAGGGACCAGCAGGCGATGAATGACGCGATCGAAGGGATGAACGGCCAGAATCTCGACGGCCGTAACATCACCGTCAATGAGGCGCAGTTCCACTCCGGCGACGGTAGTGGTTTTTGTTATGAACGGAACAACAACAAGAACGAGGTTACCGAATCTGGAGCTGAGTCGCGGACTAGGTCGCTCTCTTTAAGACGTTCGCGGCACTGCCCTCGATGCGCACGGCAGACTATCAACCGGTCGTCTCCAGGATAAAACAGCTCCTCTGTGTACTCGAGGTTTTGTGCGAAAACCGGAGCTCTCTGAACACTCTCTCTATTGTGTTTATGCTCGTTGTGGTGTCTTTAGAGGGGCTGGGGAGGCGGCTATTTATAGGAGCCGAACCCCTAGGAATATACCCTCTTGCTTGGGGAATAAGTCAGATTAATTAAGGAAGATAATTGCTTCCTTAATTAAAACCGTCGATTAGGATAAATCCTGCGGGGATTATCCCTCGAATATTCCTTTTCAATCGATTATCCCTTAGAATATTCCTCAGAATAACCGATTAATAATTAATTATTAAATAATTAATTTCGTTCGGAATTTCTCCAAAAAATATGTATATAGTCTCAAGTGATCCAACCAACCAACCGACCGGTCGGTCGGACGGACGGCTCGCGTGTGTGGTGGTCCGTTAGGTCCTCCCTCTCCCACAAAAGTGGGTCACCCCAAGGGGCATGCCCTTAGGAGAGAGGCTCCTATCTTTATACTCATTTCTCCAAGTAAAACTACCAATGTGGTAGTTTTTTCACTTGAGACTCTATAGCTTTCAAAGCTATTCATACACATTTCCAACAATCCCCCACTTGAATAGTTTTGAAACTATCTCTGAGCATCAACAGTTCCATAAGATCGGGCATAAGCTAAGGTATCGCGAAGATTTGAACCTTAGCGTAGTGGTTACACTTCCGATTTCATAAGGGTGACTCGTAGTCTTGAACCCTATCTCAGACAGTGTAGCACACCGGATCTTTTCATTGAGTTGTGTTCTCTTCTTAGCCTGTGCGTTTATGGTCGTGCACGTTATCCTGGTTTAGTGAACGCTCTAGCAACTTTGTGCCTCCAAAGTTCCATAGGGAGCGGCCCCACTCCCACATTCACATAGGTGAGTCTATCAGGAGTACCCCCAAAGTAAAGTACTCCACCCCACATAGGGTATAGATCTCATTAAGAGTTATTAACTCAACCTCCATTGCTTTGGGATTCATGCTTCATCATGAAATTTTCGCATACTACTCATGACTTGTTATTACCCATTGAACCCATTTCTTGGGATCTCCAGTCTATTGGGTCGGGTTACCATCACTTGTAGTCCGTGGTTCGGTAGGCATAAGTCTCATACCCTTGGCGGTATTCTGGACTTTCTCTCTAGGTAATCCTTTCGTCAAAGGATCAGCTAGATTCTGTTCGGATCTTATATGATCCACCCTCACTGCTCCTATCGTTAGGAGTTCTCTAACAGTACTGTGCTTATGACGAATCTGTCGTTTCTTTCCGTTATAGAACCGGTTCTCAACTTTAGCGATAGCTGCGGTACTATCACAATGTATCAATACCGGAGGGACCGGCCTTTCCCATAGGGGAATCTCTGACAACAATCCTCTTAACCAACTTGCTTCTTCACTAGCCGTTGCTAGTGCTATCATCTCTGATTCCATAGTTGATTGAGCTAGGATTGTTTGTTTCTTTGACTTCCAGGACACAGCTCCACCAGCGATGTTAAAAACATATCCGCTGGTTGCCTTGGAGTCATCTGATAGGGTATTCCAATCCGCATCACTATACCCTTCTAGTACAGCGGGAAACCTTTGATAATGTATACCAAGGTTTGCTGTTCTCTTGAGGTATCTCATGACCCTCTCTATAGCATTCCAATGCTCTCTACTAGGACAGCTGTTAAACCTGCCAAGCAATCCCACGACATATGCAATGTCTGGTCGAGTGTAATCCGCAGCATAACGGAGACTGCCAATGATGCTAGCATATTCTGTTTGTCTTACACTGTCTCCAGTGTTCTTAAATAGCTTTACACTAGCATCATACGGAGTACACGCAGGTTTACAGTCGAAATAGTTATACTTCTTCAAGATCTTCTCTATGTAGCTAGATTGATCTAGAGAATAACCATTTGCTGTTCTAGTTATCTGGATTCCAAGCATAAACTTTGCTTCTCCCAGATCTTTCACCTCAAAGCTCTCTTTTAACATGGCTTTCGCTTCATTGACCACGTGAATATTTGTACCAAATATCAACATGTCATCTACATACAAACATATGATAGTGCAAGTGTTATTCTCTGACTTGCAGTAAATACACTTGTCACTTTCATTCACCTTAAAGCCATGTGAGAGAACGAGAGTGTCAACCTTCTCATGCCACTGTTTTGGAGCCTGTTTCAAACCATATAATGATTTGTCCAACTTACAGACTTTCGAGGCATGTTCAGGGATAACAAACCCTTCTGGTTGTTCCATATAGATTTCTTCATCTAGATCACCGTTCAAAAAAGCAGTCTTAACATCCATTTGGTGTACCACGATATTGTTCAAGGCAGCAAGAGCAATCATGACACGAATGGATGTTGTTCTCGATACTGGTGAATAGGTGTCAAAGAAATCTATATTCTCTCTCTGCCTGTAGCCCTTGACTACTAGGCGAGCTCGGAACCTTTCGATTGCACCATCAGGTTTCCGTTTCGTTTTTAGAACCCATTTATTACCTAAGACTTTGCAGCCAGGAGGTAAGTCTGTTAGATGCCAAGTCTTATTAGCCTCTAACGATTCTATTTCATCTATAACGGCCTCATTCCAAAAGTCTGCATCTATGGAAGTTAATGCTTCCTGCAAACTCTTTGGATCCTCGAGGGTGTATACTGTAGTAAAGTCATCACCAAAATCTTTAGAGATTCTAGCTCTTTTACTTCTTCTGAGTTCATCCTCAGATCCAACACCCCCACTAGTTCCGTTATCTCTAATAGCGGGTAGTAGATTACCCCCACTATTTCTCGTTTTAAATGGAAATCGTGTCTCAAAGAAATCATCATCAATGGATTCTATTATAGTACGAGCATTCAAATCATAGAATCTATATGCCTTACTATTGGCCGCATAGCCAACGAAGACACATTCATATGCTCGACTAGCCAACTTAACCCTCTTAGGATCCGGAATTCTTACGTAGGCCAAACAGCCCCACGTTCTTAAATAGGACAGATTAGGTGGCTTATTCTTCAAGATCTCATAGGGTGATTCTTTTCTATTTGTTTTTGGAAGACGATTTAGCACATAGCAAACCGTCAACAAAATATCACCCCACCAAGAAGAAGCAGCTCCAGAATTGAGCATAATAGCCACAACTAATTTTGTAAACGTCCTATTTTTCCGCTCAGCTTTACCATTCATTTCTGGTGAATATGGTGTCGTGGTTTCATGAATGATACCATGTGAGCTATAGAATTCCTTGAAGGGATTAGAGTCATACTCTGATCCTCTATCGCTCCTAAGTCTTTTTATCTTTCGATTGCACTGATTTTCGAATTCAACCACAAATACCTTGAACATGTCAAGGGCTTCACTTTTGTTTTTCATCAAATAAACAAAGCAATAATCAGAGCAATCATCTATGAAAGTGATAAAGTATCTCTTGCCAGACCTAGTTAACGTCCCATCTAGTTCACAAATATCAGAATGAATCAGATCTAAGGGTTCTGATTCTCTACACACAGATTTATGGGGCGTTTTCGTTATTTTAGCTTGGCTACAGAAATCACATTTATCAAATTCATTCATTGAGAGTTTAGGGATATGTCCTAGCTTGCTTAAATTCTTCACAATTCGTGTGTTCACATGACAAAGACGAGCATGCCAAACATTCAAATCACACACCATGTAAACTGAAGAATTCATCTTATTAATTTCGACATTCAACTTGAACATCCCATTACATGCATATCCCTTTCCCACAAAACTCTCATTCTTAGTAAGAGTATACAAGTCTGCCCCAATAGATTGATTAAACCCAGCCTTATTAAGAAGATATCCCGAAACAAGATTCTTCCTTATCTCTGGAGTGTGCAACACATCCTTGAGCACCATCTTCTTCCCAGAGGTGAAGTTCAGCTCCACTTCACCAGAACCAGCAACCATAGTGGTGTGAGTAGTCCCCAACAACACTTTCTTGTCAGCAGGTGCTTCTTCGTATGTTTTAAACATAGCACGATTGTTGCATACATGCTTCGATGCACCTGTATCCAGCCACCATCCTTCTGAGTCACCGATGAGGTTAACTTCAGCGATCATGTCTGTGATCATGGCTATCAAATCCTCTTCTGTCAAGTTAACCCTGGCCGCAGAGGCGGGGTTTTGCTTGTTCCTGCACTTTTTTGCCATATGACCCGGTTTTCCGCAGTTAAAGCAGATAAACGGTGGGTCATTCTTAGAGGTTTGGGCCATGACCCTTTGGTTACATCGAGAGGCACCATTCTGGTGGGGGCGGACCTGCTGGTTCTTACCCTTAAACCCTTTTTGGTTAGGTTTAAGAGCTCTAGGGGTGGGTCGTTTAGCAGTGACGACCATCACCTCTTCTTTCATATCCTGCTTGCGGGACTCTTCCTCAATCCTTAGGCGAGTAATCAAACTTTCCAGTGAAAATTCTTTGGTTTTATGTCTAAGCATATTCTTAAAATCTTTCCACGAAGGGGGCAGCTTATCAATAATGCAAGCAACTTGAAATTGATCGTCCAGAGGCATACCTTCAGAGACGATCTCATGAGCTATTTTCTGAAGTTCGTGGGACTGAACTTCGACAGACTTGTCATCCACCATCTGGTAGCGCAGGTAGCGGCTGACAGCATACTTCTTAGCTCCAGCCTCCTCCGTGTCGTACTTCGTTTGGAGCGCATCCCAGATCATCATTGCGGTGTTCTTGCTGTCCGCATAGTAGTCTTAGAGGTCGTCTGCCAGGCCGTTGAGGATGTAGCCCTTGCATAGGAAGTCATGCTCCCTTTCCTTAGCAGAAGCAGCCCTCTCCTCATCGGTTGCTTCTTCCGGCAGCTCGACGGGCATGCTGGTGAGGCAGTGTGCCAACTTCTTGGTCGTCAGGTAGAACTCCATCTTTTGTCTCCAGCGACGAAAGTTGACTCCAACGAAGCGAAACGGTCGATTAATATCGACATCACCAGATCCGGCCATGTTGTTCTGTTCAGTCGACATAGCAGCAGCCGAACGTCTTAAAATTGTTATGAACGGAACAACAACAAGAACGAGGTTACCGAATCTGGAGCTGAGTCGCGGACTAGGTCGCTCTCTTTAAGACGTTCGCGGCACTGCCCTCGATGCGCACGGCAGACTATCAACCGGTCGTCTCCAGGATAAAACAGCTCCTCTGTGTACTCGCGGTTTTGTGCGAAAACCGGAGCTCTCTGAACACTCTCTCTATTGTGTTTATGCTCGTTGTGGTGTCTTTAGAGGGGCTGGGGAGGCGGCTATTTATAGGAGCCGAACCCCTAGGAATATACCCTCTTGCTTGGGGAATAAGTCGGATTAATTAAGGAAGATAATTGCTTCCTTAATTAAAACCGTCGGTTAGGATAAATCCTGCGGGGATTATCCCTCGAATATTCCTTTTCAATCGATTATCCCTTAGAATATTCCTCAGAATAACCGATTAATAATTAATTATTAAATAATTAATTTCGTTCGGAATTTCTCCAAAAAATATGTATATAGTCTCAAGTGATCCATCCATTCACGGCACTGCCCTCGATGCGCATGGCAGACTATCAACCGGTCGTTTCCAGGATAAAACAGCTCATCTGTGTACTCGCGGTTTTGTGCGAAAACCGGAGCTCTCTGAACACTCTCTCTATTGTGTTTATGCTCGTTGTGGTGTCTTTAGAGGGGCTGGGGAGGCGGCTATTTATAGGAGCCGAACCCCTAGGAATATACCCTCTTGCTTGGGGAATAAGTCGGATTAATTAAGAAAGATAATTGCTTCCTTAATTAAAACCATCGGTTAGGATAAATCCTGCGGGGATTATCCCTCGAATATTCCTTTTCAATCGATTATCCCTTAGAATATTCCTCAGAATAACCGATTAATAATTAATTATTAAATAATTAATTTCGTTCGGAATTTCTCCAAAAAATATGTATATAGTCTCAAGTGATCCATCCATTCGCGGCACTGCCCTCGATGCGCACGGCAGACTATCAACCGGTCGTTTCCAGGATAAAACAGCTCCTCTGTGTACTCGCGGTTTTGTGCGAAAACCGGAGCTCTCTGAACACTCTCTCTATTGTGTTTATGCTCGTTGTGGTGTCTTTAGAGGGGCTGGGGAGGCGGCTATTTATAGGAGCCGAACCCCTAGGAATATACCCTCTTGCTTGGGGAATAAGTCGGATTAATTAAGAAAGATAATTGCTTCCTTAATTAAAACCGTCGGTTAGGATAAATCCTGCGGGGATTATCCCTCGAATATTCCTTTTCAATCGATTATCCCTTAGAATATTCCTCAGAATAACCGATTAATAATTAATTTCGTTTGGAATTTCTCCAAAAAATATGTATATAGTCTCAAGTGATCCATCCATCCAACCGATCGGACGGACGGCGCGCGCGTGTGTGTGGCGGTCCGTTAGGTCCTCCCTCTCCCACAAAAGTGGGTCACCCCAAGGGGCATGCCCTTAGGAGAGAGGCTCCTATCTTTATACTCATTTCTCCAAGTAAAACTACCAATGTGGTAGTTTTTCCACTTGAGACTCTATAGCTTTCAAAGCTATTCATACACATTTCCAACAGTTTCAGGAGTGGTGGAACGGAAGGAATGCCACCGCTGGAGAGGAGGATCGCTAGTTGCGGGCGAACAGAAGGATTGTCGCCGCCGGAGGTTGTGTTCTGGTGGTGAGGTTGGGTCGGGTAGGGTATGGGGGTGTGTAGAAAAGAAATTAGTTTTTTTTTTGTTTTTTAAGGAATGTAATAATGAGATGAAAAATATAAAAGTTTATTTTTTATTTTTTAATAATTTTTTAATTGCCACATCACATATTTAAAGGTCAACTATGAAAGTTGACTGCCACGTAAGGTAGAGTTAACGGAAATGGACGAAGAGTGACCAAACTTGAACCATTTAATTAATTTGAGTGACCAAAATTGGATTTAAATATTTCCAGTGACCAAACATGAACGTTTTTTGTAATCTCAGTGACCAACCATACAATTAACCCATAATTTGGAGTTTGACATTTTAGTTATTCATTCGGCAGGCACACGTCATTAACAGCAGCTGAAAAGCCGACACTGGTGACTCTTCTTCTTCAAGGCAGATTTGTTTTTATTTATTTATGTTACACAGAGAACGGTCCCCAAACGAGCGAATGAGCCCATCCAAAGACTCAAACTTCCCTCCTCTCCTCCTTCAGTCAACTTCCATCGACCACGAGCAACCATCGCCGGCGACGGATCGCACTCACCGCCGGGACCTGCCGAGCTTTCATTCTCCCCATTCCTCAACCTCGAGGGTTCCATGCCCTGGATCATGGGCTTTATCTGCACCATCTGCCGCTACCTGGACGGGAAGCTCAATTCTCGTCGCGCTAAGGCGGATGGTGAAGCTACCGAAACTTCCGACCTCTTCTTCGCCCTCCATACGCTTCAAGTCGCCACCAATTTCTTCTCCGACTTGAACCAGCTCGGTCATGGCGGCTTTGGTCCCGTCTACAAGGTGCGTAGCAGTGGCTCTCTGGTTGCTTTTTTCCCTTCCCCAATCCATTCAAACTCAGTAGCTGGTTGTGGCATCGTTGAATTGAGAGCATTTTACATGGTTTAATTTAAGGAGTCAGGGTTTCGTGTTGTTGATTTGGGCTCCACTTTCCGCCTGTGGGAACCCTTTGGACTTTTTTTTTTTGTTTAGGTGTCCTGAAAGTTAAAAGGATTTGTTCATTAGTCTCCCTTTGAAATCAACCTGCAAAATTTTGTGTGTTCAAATCACCTCCAAGGGTCATTCCATTCATGTAGAGCTGTTTTTTTTCTTCAGGGGCTGATTCCGAATGGCCAAGAAATCGCGGTGAAGAAGCTATCCTTGACTTCAAGACAAGGAGTAAGAGAATTCACCAATGAAGTGAAGTTGCTGTTGAAGCTCCAGCACAAGAATCTGGTTACATTGTTGGGTTGCAGTGTGGAAGGCCCTGAGAAGATGCTTGTTTATGAGTATCTGCCGAACAAGAGCCTCGATTACTTCCTCTTTGGTAAATACCTCATGTATTGCAGAGATCATCTGTCTTTTATGTTGGGGGAAAAAGGAAAATCAGCACCTGATTGATTCTCTTCCTGATGAAATTTTGTAGATACAAAGAAAGCTTCTTCACTGGATTGGACAACAAGATTCCATATAGTTACAGGGGTGGCGAGGGGGCTTCTTTATCTCCACGAAGAAGCCCCCATGAGAATCCTTCACAGGGACATCAAAGCCAGTAATATATTGCTGGATGAGAAACTGAGTCCAAAGATATCGGATTTCGGCCTTGCCAGGTTGTTTCCGGAGGAAGACACACATGTAAACACATTTAGGATATCTGGTACTCAGTGAGTGTTTCTTCCAGTTCTCTATCATTAGGAGTTCTTTTCTCCGTTTCACTTGAATGTTCAGATCCTGCAGCTTTGCTTTCCGTATGTTACGCTGCTGACAATGAACTTGATGCTGGTTGCAGTGGTTACATGGCCCCAGAGTATGCAATGCATGGATATCTTTCTGTGAAGACCGACGTCTTCAGTTATGGTATTCTACTCTTGGAAATCATAAGTGGGAGGAAGAATCTTGATCCCAGACTCGGTCCAGACAATGCTGATGTCTTGAATTCTGTAAGTTGATTCTACAGTCTGCTGCACTGCATTGACTGCTTTTGCTTGCGTTACATGCGATAGGAATGTGTAGTTTTCAGTTTTCAGTTGTCTATTGATTGTTGAATTGAAAATGGGTACCCTGTGTATCCAATTTAGGAAAATACATGAAATGATGAAAACCATGGTTTAGTTATGCCTTACGCAATCTAAAAGGGCCAATTCATACCTGTTCTCCGTGTCACGCTCTTGCTTGGATCCAATGCCAGACTCAAAGTAGCTAGCATTCCACCTGAATTTTCTATGAAGACCATTGATCTAACCCCTTCGCTGTCTTTCTTGGGTGTAACTTAAACACAGGCATGGAAACTCTATCAAGCAGGAGAGACACTGGAGTTGCTCGACCCTAGCCTCGGCGACAGTTATAACAGAGATGAAGTGGGGATGTGCATTCAAATAGGGCTACTGTGTTGTCAACAAACTGTTGTCGATAGGCCTGACATGAACTCGGTTCACCTCATGCTTTCGAGTGACTCGTTTACTTTGCCAGCACCGGGTAAACCTGGGCTGCAAGGCCGAACAGGAAGGTTGATATCTACAAATGGCACCACTTCTGCTTTGACCAACACTAGCCCCCCTAGCACTATGGAATCCGGTGGTAGCAGAGGTTCTGGAGGGAACGGTATCAATGTTGTTGAGGATTATTCCCGAAACTCCATCTCTATCTCCTCCATTGATGGAGGTAGATAAAATAGGATCAAAGCCTCTACATGTTTATGTGAAGCCATAGGATGTTCTACTGTTAGTCTGTTACGTTTCCTACATTATAATTTTTTTTTTAATCATTGCATGTTAAAATACTTTAGGGTGATATTTAACTGTATTTTCATAATCTTCTTTGCAAGTTTCGGTTAGGCTGAATATCTCTCGCCAACGTGAATATATGACAAATTACCCCGGCACAAAAAAGTATCAGTTCTGGTTTGTTTAGTAGTCGAAACGTTTCGGGCTTCATAGCTGGTTTTGCGTTTCTGCTACAGGTTACTACCTGCAGTTTCGCATTTCCGTAGCAGATATCACCGTTTTCCCCCCGTCAAGCGTTAACGGCTCTTCGCCCTTGGTCGACTTTTGTTTATTTTGCCGTCAGCTTTGCCGTTTCGCAAGATTTCGAGTTCGTTTCGCGCTCTAGTCTCTACTGACCTTCTTCATGGTTTAGGGCATTGGGTTTTCTGATTACCCAGTAATAGTCATTGATCACGATTCAACAGTTCCAATCTCTGTGGATTGGTAACTAATCAGTAATTTGTATTCTGATATGTTCTTACGGGTGCAATTTGTTTGTTGATCGGGCTGTTCTTGGTTCTTTTTTAGATCAGGGTTCATCCTTCTGGGGCATGGTTGATAGTACTGATTCGAGTCCTCTTGCTTCAGAACTGTGGGGGGATGTTTCATTGTTGCTCTTCTCATTGTACCGCCGGTGGCCTAAACTTGTAAGTGGGTTTTGAACATTCCCCCATTGTTCTTCATTAGCAGTCACTATATATACAAAGCCGAATCGACTTGCAAATGTTTGATATTATCATATTATGCATTAGTGATCTTTGATTAATTGGTATCCATTTTGAGTGTTGAGTTCTGACTAGTTGCTTCCCTCTGTATTTTGTTAGGATTGCGAGTCAAGTGGATGCTTTTATTAAAGTTTTTTTTTTATCTGTTATCTCCACGGTGGACATTTCGAGGGCTCTGTATTGGTACGTAGTTTCACATTCAACGACCTCAATAGATCTTATCCATAGTCTATTACCATATTGGAAAAAGCTACAACTAGGAAACAATGTAGGTAGCCTGATGAGATCAGAATGTGCTGAGCCTCATCAGGATCAGTTGTGCTCCTTATGGTGATTTGGGTGATGTAACAAACTACCAAACTTTGTGTACTTTGCTTTTATAATTCTTTTCTTTATCAAGAAAAAGATTCACTCCTCTTAGAATGAACTTCAATACCAAGTTCGTTAATGGACAAAACAGTTTGCTTTCTGTATATAGCAAGGGGAAGAAATGGTCTTAATCATTTTGCATTTGCTGGTCTGTGGTGCTATTATTACATGTTTTAATTTGTTTGTGATTTTTATTTTTCCACAAACATATAGAATGATCTGATATCCCGCAGAATTAACTCAGTGATGCTGAGAAATTCTTTCAAGTGTGTGTTGTGCATGTAATGGGGCCGGTTGGGGCCTGATCTGTTGTGTTTTTGTTAAAACCCACAGATTTTTAGTTTCTCAGTGGCTTGATCATATGACTCTGATTTTGCAGGGGTCTAGTTTCTCCCATGTTACCCGGAGCAATGTACCTAGGGCTTGTCATATTGTCATCGTGATTAGATAAGGTAATTCAAGTCTTATTCAGCAAAGCAATGAATTCCTTCCAGGCAAAGTGAATGAGCACTTACCATCAAGTACACTGTATCCTGAGAATCAATGATGTATGAATCCTCGATTGTTGCTTAGCATAAACTACCATGAGTATATATGAGGATGTTGTTGATTCTTGATTAAGATGCTTTCTATTTGATGTTTTAGAGCGGAGTTACATGAAACTGGCTACCCACAAGGCAGAAGTGTTGGCTGTGTAAGCTAGACTAAAAAAAGAGCTTCTTGGATTGGATACAGCAGTCGCAGATGATGCCTTCCACAAAGCCTATGTCAGGGTGTGATTCAGGATCCTTTCGATGCAATGCAGAGCCACACTCATCATCTTCTCTGGGACTTCACTGGGAAGTGCCCGTTCAGGCTCTTATCCATCCAACTCTGCACCCTATCCTCGTCCTCGCCGATGCTGGCAAGATTGAATACCAGTAAGCAGCTCCTACAGCAGCACTCAAATGCGTACACATCCGATTCTGTGTCCCTGATGCCCCTTCATGTCAGCCAAGCACTGGGCCTCTTGGTTCTCTTCAATCAACTTTGTCGTCGTCTTTCACCAGCCGCCAATGTGGTCTTCATCGTCGCCAGCAGTAGCCTCCCAGACAGCCTGGGCGAGGCCAAATTTGCAGATCACAGGTCTGACTGCGCCAGGCTAATGAGAAATGGTGGAAGTAGTATACTCCAGAAAGTGAGGATCACGTTGGAGCTCTTGATACGATTGTGAACGAGGACGGTGTCCAATCTGGTTATGTGGTGGACGTAGTTCAGGCCGCGAGCCACTCCCAGGGGGATTTCGATCCTCCACTGTCATGCCGAGACGAACAAGCATAGAGATTGTTATTGTTATTATCATTATGAATAGTCAATCGGAGAGGGTGGGCCTGTTGACGAACCGCACATGAGTTTGACGATGCAAGGTTCCTTGTCGAAATTGAAGCTCCGATGAGCCGGTCGACTTTGGTGTGTTGTATGCTGCCGATGAGTGATAGCCGTTGTTTCAGTCTCCATGGTGATGGTGGAAGGGAAATTCGGATGTCTTTGCCCCCGAATGTGCTGAGGGAGAGGGGGGTTGAAGAAGAAGAAGAAGAAGAAGAAGAAGAAGATGAAGAGATGGTGAAGAAGAAGGTGGAGGCGGCAGAGAGGAAGCCCTCCAGGGTTCGGAGTTAGAGGAGGGTGTGGTGCCGGACTGGATGAAGATGGAAGCTGCAGCCCTGGGAGTTGCTGTAAGGTATTGGGTTCGGGCGGGTTGGTCTGGGTTTGGGGCAGTACCGTGGAAAGCTGAATCATCATTGTCGGCGTGCTGATTCTGGTGATCATTGTCAAACGCCATTGTGCTCTGACGACTCTCGCTCTCTATTTGGTCTCTTTCCCTCCTCATTTTCATTTCCACGAAAACCCCCAATAAGAATCCAACGGAAGACTAAGGCCCAGTCAACTTACTTCTCCCATAAGAGACGCAACAACCATGTCCATGGGGAGCGACGGATCGCCGACCCCAGGCAATTCTCAGGCCCTTCCCCTCCGGCCTCCTCAACCTCAACGCTGCCTGTCCTAATCATGAGCCTAATTCGCACCATCCGCCGATATCTGGGCGGAATATTGAATTCTCTTCGCGCCGAGGGTGGTGTCAGTTTCGGCATCGCTTTTGAAACTTCCGTTCTCGTCTTTGGCCTCCGAACGCTTCAAGTGGCTACCGATTCCTTCTCCAAGTTGAATAAGATCGGCGAGGGAGGCTTTGGTTCCGTCTACAAGGTGCGCAATAGTGTGACTCTCTGGTTTTGTTATTTCTTCCCCTCCACTGCATGGAACTCGATCGTATAATCAGCTAACTGCTGATCATGGTTATGTTGAGTGAGTCAGTTTACGCAGTTGCTAGTTTGGGTTTGTTGGCTTGGATATCCTTGAAGCTTCGAACTTGCTCCATTTTCGGCATTACATTTCAATTGAATTATGTTGGCAACTGACAATCGGTTAACGTCTTGACTTGCCAGAAAGATAGCGGTGGTTGCGTTCCTCTTTTGTTGAATCTGGGGTTTGTGGTGCCTACCATGATTTTTTGTTGGCAAGAGAAAGTGAATAGTTTCTGTTTGACTCTCGGGTTTGTGGTTCTAGCAACCATGAATTTTTGTTGGCAAGAGAAAGTGAATAGTGTTTGTTTTCTTCAATCAGCCAAATTTGAGCAATACTGGTGAATTGGTTCATGACGAAATTCTGGTTTATATTTGATTTGAATGTAATGTACGCTGAGTTTTTTGAGACGTCAAGAATTTTTTTGATACGTTCGTTCGTCTCTCTCAAACAATCTGCAACGTCTTTTGACTGTCAAAACTTCTCCAAGCACTACTTTATTCATCCATGTTGAGCTGTTTTCAGGGGGTATTGCCTAATGGCCAAGAGATCGCGGTGAAAAAGCTCTCATCATATTCAACACAGGGAGTAAGACAATTCACTAATGAAGTGGAACTGCTGTCTGAAATCCGGCACATGAATTTAGTTATATTGCTGGGTTGCTGTGCAAAAGGACATGAGAGGATGCTTGTCTACGAGTATCTGCCCAACAAAAGCCTTGACGGCTTCCTCTTTGGTAAAAAGCTCATTTATTGCTTAGATGCCTTTCATGTTGTGCAAAATAAAATTAGCACTTGATGATTACGACTGGTGAAATTTCCTAGATAAAAAACAGTCTTCCTGCCTGATTTGGGAAACAAGATTTCGTATAGCGACAGGGGTGGCGAGGGGGCTTCTTTATCTCCATGAAGAAGCTCCCATGAGAATCCTTCACCGAGACATCAAAGCCAGCAATATCTTGCTGGATGAAAAGCTGAGTCCAAAGATAACGGATTTTGGCCTTGCGTGGATGTTTCGTTTCCCGAGGAAGACACACATGTAAACACATCTACCATATCTGGTACCCTGTGAGTGCTTCTCCTGGTTCTCTATGATGGATAAAAAGCGTTTTTATTTCACTCGATGGTTGAATGCTGCTTAGCTTTTCCTATCTTAATCGGTTGAAATAAAACTTTATGTTGATTACAGTGGCTACATGGCCCCAGAGACCGACGTCTTCAGTTATGGCGTTCTCCTTCTAGAAATTATAAATGGGAGAAAGATTATTGATTTTAGTTTCGGTCCAGATCGATATGATCTCTTGCATTCAGTAAGTCGATTCTATAGAATGCTGTATCTACTGCTTTGCTAGAGTCATTGAAATTTATAGTCCGAGTTTCGAGTTGTAGATTGAAGATGTCAGGAATTTGAAAATCGATATCTTCTGTATCCAAATCAGGAAAAATCTGGAAAACCATGCTTTATTTGACCCTCTGTGTGAGCAGTTTTCTAGTTCATGTCCTTCCATGCAATCATTCCACTTGATTCTGCAGCGCATCAATCTAACCCATCAGCTACCCTTTCGTTTTAGCTGTAACTTGTTAAAAACAGGCATGGACGCTCTATCAAGGGGGAAAGATGTCGGAATTAGTTGACCCGAGCCTTGGCAACTCGTACAACACCCATGAAGTGGAGATGTGCATTC